TAAGTTACGTAAGTTACGTAAGTTAAATTTTAACATACGTCAGTAAAAATAATTTACGTAAGTTATACAACCCTACATTTACCTTACCTCGCAAAGATGACAGCTCTGATGTGAATACCGAGAAGCTGTCATGGCTGAGATCATGATCCCAATCATGATCGCACATCCCTTCTCAAGAAATCACAATGCAACGGCATAATCTATCAAATAAACAAGACGTGCAGTCATTCGGAAAGATATCACCACCTTCACGACAATTTCGCATCAAGACCTGCATAAAGACTTTGACGAACTCACGATCCTCACTGATTCTCGTGATTGGATCGATACCATCAAAGATTACATAACAGTATCTTGAGCTGATGGTACCTTTACAAAAAGAAGAGACATGGTTAGCATATACTTCGACACCATAAAACTCCCATTAGCATTTACCTACCTTGATAGTATACATATTCCCTGAGAAACCAACTGCGCCATATTGAATCATGTTAATCCCTGTTCCTTTATAAAAAAATATAAAAGACAAAAGCGAAGTTAATAATTATCTTATCCCTTTTAATTACCCTTACCTTTCTATGATTCCTTCGTTATTCCTTTGATTATCTCTTATACACTATTAGCATTAGTAACACACGTATCATTTTTACTTCTCTATTTTTAAGACTTGAGAAAATATTATTATTTGCTCTGGTATTTTTATAAAGCCATTACATAGCCATAGATGACCTTGATTCTTAGGAATCCATAGCATATGCTGGTTAAAGGCTGGTTAGTCATGAAGTGCAAAATTGTAGCAGAATGATGTTTAAGGCTATAGCATTTTATGAAATTATCAAAGTGATTAATATTATTCTTTCAATTCATTTTGCACAAATAATATATTCATTTTTATTTATTTACATAAATATTTTTAATTTTATTAAAATATTATTATATTTTATTATCATTTTTACTTTTATATTTTTAATAATAAGAAACATTGAAATCTTGAGGTATCCTTTAGCTACTATATAAGATACAGCATCCAGGCTATATGACATGGATGTAGATACCATGATAGCCCAATCCTCAACTTGTCCAAATACAAGTATCATTGAACCCTTGAATAAAGAAAGAAATCTGAAAACTAAGAGCAAGCAAAAAATACAATATAATGAAGAGGGCCCATTAAGCTCTCCTCTTTTATTACAGCTGGTCTACAAAGTATACTTAGTGACTACTGTATTTCTTGTAATGAATTCATAAAGCTAGGTTGAATGAAACAAAATACCAAGATTAAAAAGGGCAAACCTTTAATTGAATTCAAAGGTGGAAAAAGACTGGTCGAAAGAAGCAAGGGCAAGAGTTCCTAAAAGCTAAAGGAGTTTCTCCAACTGAGTCACCCTGTTCTTTAAATTGAAGTTTTCCAACTCTAATTCTATATTGCGACAGTGTAGGGCCTGAGCATCTAAAAGTTTTTTCAAGTCAGCTTGTAACTTGATAATCTTTTTTTTCAACTTGATGACCTCTTCTTGCAAGGCCTTGACCTTCTTTTCACAATGTGCCAAGTGTTCCAAAATTTTAACCCTTTCTTGAAGCACTACTATAGTCTTCTAGACAGGATCTTTTTGACCAGAGCAAGTGAGACGAGCAACTTTAGATATATGGTTTTCTCTAGGCATGATAATAACAAATCTGAAGCGAGGAATAAAAAGAAGAAAAATTAGTATACAATATTAAAACAAAGAGAAAAGTTTAAAAGAAACAAAAATGATGAATATTCTTGGATATATGAATCATCTTCAAAGTAGAATAACCTAGGGATCCACTAGGCTATGACCTGTCAATGCTATACAGAGAGAACAAATTTATAGAAAATACATAGGTATATATCCAATAATTTTGAAAATAAAAAGGATAAATTCGTCTGATGAAGAAAAGATAATTCAAAAAAATTGGATACCTTGGAAAAATAACACACAAAAATCTTTGAAAACGATGATTGAACTTGCACTTGGAAAGTTTGGCAATCTCTAAACAAAAATCAATTCTTAAATATTAAATTATTTGAGAAACTGATGAAAACAAAAAGATTTTTTGATCAACATGAATCTGCAACTTGAAATTCACCTTACTACTATATACTATTTAAGGAAAACAAGCATATGAGCAAACTTGAATGGATTGATCTACTATAACTAGGAGAGATAATTATTTAACATGTGAAATCTGGATAAATGACACAAGGAAAACTTGATTGACAACTGATAAAGAAAAAATTGTATGAAAAAACTGTAAAAAAACTTTGTTCAGTATTGGAGGTATTTATAGCAATGGACAGTCTATAATTTATGAATCCAAAGTTTAACAAAGAGAATATCAGTAATAGATACAAAAGTAATATTGAACATATAAATCTTGAATTGTGTGGCAAGTGCAGTAAGTGCTAAGCATTGTTAATATTTGAGTATCAGCTATATATTTATAGAAATTGATCATTAGGACAACATGTCAATAAAATTTCCAATTTGAGAATAGTATGGGAAGCTTATTTACATGAATTTATCTTTTCTAATTTAACAATTTGGCATGGAGCTCACAGATTAGTGGAGAAGAATTGTTACCTATGATTTTCGCTCAAGATTTACATTATCCCTTGTATTAATTTTACTAACATTTATTCTTGCAATATTGTCCATTCTAGAATAATCTTTGTATTACTGATCTGTGTCTTCACTACCTTTACCTTTATTATCTTTATCACCTATATTACCTTTAGAATCTTCTATTACTTTATTATTTTTATTATTATATATATCTTCGCTAGAGTATTTTCCTGTACTTACTGTAAATATATTAACTGCTCTAATGAAAATAATATCTATTTTATTAATATTATCACTATTATCTTTTATGTACTCAAAAATATATATATAAACATCTCCAATTTCTCCTGAAATTGCAAGGTTGAACTTTTTTCTTTATTAATAAAATAACTTGACCTTTATAAAACAAATCACTATTGCTTCTTTTGCTTGATCTCATACATCTCAAAACTGTACTAATTTTAGTACACCCTTATGAACTTTAGTATACCATATTGATCCATCCATACAAAATATCTTCCTGCTATTAGTTCTTTATCCATATCTTTCTTCTGAGGTAGGAAGATATATGACAATATATACACTTAGGGTAGCTAAGCTTGTTTTGAATAAATGTTTCTGTGACAAGAGTTAGAATGTTGATTATGGTACTTTCAAAGGCTGGGATTGAGATGTTGTCATTGAAAAATGGATTGTTATTTTTTTTTGTGTCTTACTCTTACTGGCATTATTGTTATCGTTATTATTGCTGGAAAGAATATTTGTATTGTTGATGTTTAATATAAAAGTAATATTGAATATATAAGTTTTAAATTATATAATAAGTATAATAAATCTTGCTAAGTATTGTTAATAATTAAATATTAATAATATAATTATATAAATTAATTATTATATTAATATATTAATAGATTTTTAATTTAAAAATAGTATAGGAAGTTTATTTATATATATTTATCTTTTTTAATTTAACAAATTGTTTATAAAACTTGTATATTAGTGAAAAAGAATTGTTACAATTGATTTTTACTTAATATTTTTATTTAATTTTATGTAAACCTACTAATATTTAATTCTTGGAAATTATTATTTTTTATTTTAAAATTTTTATATATTAATTTACTATAATATCTTTATTTATTTACATATTTAGCTATTATTTTTTATTCTAAAATATTCTTTAATTTTATTTATTATTTTTTTAAGCTATATTTACTAGAGTATTTATTTTTATTAATATAAACATATTTGATTATTTTGATAAAAATACTATTTTTTTTATAATTATTATTTTTATTAAAGTTTATTATAATTATATATGCATATTATATATATTAATTATATATAAAGATTTTTAATTCTTTGGAATTGCAAGGTTAAACTTTTTTTTTATTAATAAAATAATTTGATTTTTATAAAACAAATTATTATTATCTTTTTCACTTGATCTTATATATTTCAAAAATATATTAATTTTAATATGCTTTTAGAAACTTTAATATATTATATTGATTTATTTATATAAAGTATTTTTTTGCTACTAATTTTCTATCTTTATCTTTCTTGAAATAGAAATGATATATAATTTTTTTTTTTTTTTTTTATAACACTGGCGTGCCAATAGTTTAGGTTTTTATTAACATATACTTGATAGAAATGATATATAATAATAGATAATTTTTTTATTAAATATCAAATATTTTTATTTTTTTAAACTACTTTTAATTGATTTTGATCTGATTGATTTTAAATACATATTATTTTTTTTAATCAAAAATTATTAATTTAAATTTTTTATTAATTGAATTAATGAAATAATAAATATATCAAATAATTAAGCAATATAATAAGTTTATTATTTTATTTTTAAAATTTTTGATATAATAATTACTTTAATAACAATTGTCTAATAATAAATTTATGGACTTGATTATATATTATTACAGTATATTGATCTTTTAAATTCTCTTATATAAATTAAGACAATATTAATACCAAATTTAAATATATCAATAATGATAGTAAATGGCTTAATAGAATTTAAAAGAATAAAGTTTAGATTGTTATTTAAAACACACTTTGAATAACTTTATCCGTTAATAATATTATTTATGAATTAAAATATTGAATTTTTATATGCTTTTAATTAACAAAATAAAGGCTTCTTCAAAAAATCAAATGTGCTATACTTTTTATTTATTCATTTATTTTGAAATATTGTATAAGTATGTGAATACTCTTATTGTAACATTATTTTAATTTGCTCAACACAGTTATATACAGTAAATTATAAAAGTTTATAAAATACAGTATCATATGGTGACTGTTCCGAAAGAATTGACAACACCGCGTTAGTTATTTTTACGTCAATGACTATCGCGTAGTCGGACATTTTACACCGGGAATCTTCAATGATCTACAATTATGCAGATCCTATCTTCGGAACTTCATTCCGTGACGAAGTGATCGAAAATTTGCAAACAAAAAAATCAAAGAAGGAATATTTCTAATTCGTTATTATATCACTGTTCTCATACATACAATTGGTCGCACATAAACGCATGGGATTATGATATCTCCGATACAAGAATGAGACAAAAAAATTTTAAATTAGTAACATCAACACACTTTCACGTGATTGTCTATTAAGGAAAGAATAATTTTCCGTTGTTGTGTACGTAATTTGTTTGTTATTTTTCGCAGTTTGTTTTTTGTTATAATAGGGAATGCGAATGGAATAAAACAAGCATTATTGGAACACAAGAAGAACATTCCTTAGAGCAACAATACTATTTTCGCTGAAGAGATCATTTGACTGTTTTGATATTTGCAAAGTGTATTACATAGCATACATTCACAAATTTCCCTTATTTGTACATGGTCATAATGTTGATGCCATTTATGTAAACAACAGGCATTAATTCGGAAATCATAAGCCGAAATGTCGCGTACTGTGGAAACCCTATTTTTAACGAATAATATGTCTCTTGACCAAGAATTTTTAATAAACAAATGGAATCTTTTAACAATTTGTCATCAGTTTTTGGATATTTGGCATGTGCTTACTCGTTTATTCAGTTAATATTATTTCCAAATTCTAATGACAAAGGATTTTTAGACTACTTATTCTGGAAGGATAATGTAAACACGCACGAGTAATAACAAAATTTCAGAACAATAAATCCTCTTTCAATTACTATCCACAAATCATTGTGGCACATCCAGAAAACGTAAATTATGAATAGTAATTCAAACATGAATTCGGAATACCAGCCATCTGTAATCTTGATGCAAAGTCCTATTGAATTTAGCCTCTTTTAGGGTTAGTACTTTGATAAATATTAAGAAACTCTTTGAATACATTTAAAATAATATCTCAACCGCAACATTAATCCGTTTCATGAACTGTTCAGTCACAGATGCTTGGTACGTAATTTTGTGTGACCACTAGCCTTATTAACCGCAGATGTTGATCTGGTGATTAGAGATCATAAAGTCCCGTGCTAATAATGTATAAATAGGTAACATCACTCGACCTTTTCGCTCTCCCTTCGTGGTGTTTCAAAAAAAATGAATAAAATTTGACATCTTTTCACTTTTCGTTCATTTTTTTCACAATAATCTTTTGGCATTTGTCGAATGTTAAATTACCCATCCACGAATCGTTATCTATTCTCTTGTGTAAACTCTTTTATCAATCGACGTCTCAAGAAAATCGATTTTTTTATAGTTACGATTAACTCAAAATTTCGTTTTCTTTTTTTCAACACAAACTTTTTTAACGCGTACCATGGAATCTTCCAATTCGGGAAAAGATGGGTATTATAATGACGGGGAGCAAGAGGGTGTTTCTTCTAGTCGCGAAGATGCCAAGAGATTAAATGATATTCTTCCTGAAGATGATAGTCATAGACAAATCGAATGTTCATCTATTTCATCTTCGGATGTTGAAGTTCAATCTCCCCTTTCAGATCAGGGAAGTGAGAGTATCACTATTCAATCGGTACCACCTTCAGTTAATTTTCAACAAGTTTCTCCAGAACTTTTAATTCGTCCATCGTTCCCACCAAAAATTTGTCCAAAAGAATTAGTCATTAACCTATTACGC